AGAATCAGAGTGGATGTAAAAGAAGCCTTAGATTGGTTAGCAGAAATATTGAAATTTTGCTAATTCATTGATAAGCCAAAAATGCCTTAAAAACTATAAACTACAAGTAATTTCCGCATTAATATTGCTAACATTTAGCATAGTCAGTATGCTGAATGAATTCTTATAAAAACACTATTTGTTTCACTGTGTGTTCCAAAATATTTTATAAAGAATAATTCTGCAACTATGTTGTTTGTAGACTATCTACATATATTTTATATTTTCAAATCATCTTGTAGTTGGGATAGATACTACACTGTTTGCGTTTCAAATATAGTTGATTTCTTAAATTATTGTGTAAAATAAATTAGTTCTTATACTCAAATATTGATGATTACTTAAATTGTTTTCTAAAATAAGCTCTAGCACTTTAAGTGTGTACAAAAAAACTTCTCTTGTAACACATTGACTTCTTAATTTTTCTATCTATATTCTTTTAAAACCTTTGTTTTCTTGATTTCTTTCATAATGTGTTGCAATACTTGCTGTTTGCACAATTAAAGTTGACTCCTTTTGTGTTGGAAGGTTTGCACCTTTTTGTCCTAATTGATTTTTCATAAAACAAAGATGATTTTGACCAGATTATAGTTGAAAGAAAACAATAAAATTATGACATAGCTTTGTCTTGATGATGAAGATAGCTTTGAGTCCAAATAATTTTTTTCTGAAATAATATTTTTTTTTTGTTGGTATATACGGTACATAGATATAAACATAGAAATAAAATAAGCCATGCCCCAACTCTGTCAATTATATTAAAGCAAATTCAAATTTTGAAGTTATCGTCAAACAGAACAAAAACTCACAGGAATGGATAAAGCAGAAATTTTCAGGAACTATGAAATGAATTGTGCATTAAAACGCTATGAAAAATGCATTCATGGAGGATAACAAAATTACCAATTTAAAAGAAAACAATAATCCTGCAAAGATAGGACTCTTTAAAACTTCACCTTCGGTTGACGGCTCACAATTCAGAGCCGAGATCCAACGGGTATGCACAGACTTCACAAGAACACCTAGTCGCTGTGTTGTTAAAGCAATGTAAATCAGTTGTGCATGCCATGTACATTGCCAACAGCAGCCTTAGCAGATGAGTTGAGGATAAAAGGTTAAAGATAGATAAAATTACCAATAAATGTATTTCTGTTTTGTTACCCAAAATATATTTTATAATTAAAATGTTTTTTAAATAGAATTATACATATTTACATACTGGAAAAAAGGTATTGAACATGTTTACTTTCTGATACGCAACAAAGCCATATTGTGAAGTAAATAAACATTTACGCAGACCAAAAATCTAATCACAAATTGAAGACATGATAGAACATTTTTAAATCAACAAAGATCATGCACCGGTTTTTGTAAATTATGCCATAGTAGATTGAAGCGTTGACCATGCCTCTTCCACAACTGTACTTGCATCACGGCAAACAGCTGTAATGCCATCAATGCTTGGTAGTGCTTGGAAGTATCCTGGAAGAGAGAGAATATTTTAGGTTGAGAGAAGATACTTAGCAGAGCAACAATCCTCTTGGAAAATCAAATTTTCTAAAAAATTTATTTAATTTAATTTACATAATTAATTCATATTCCAAGTTTCACTTAGTTCTCTTAAAGGCTCCTTTACTAATTTATACATTGAACAGAACTAGTACTGCATATATGAATTTCAGAACTATTCATTATTTGTTTTTCCCTTGTCTACAACAGTGGTAGCTCGCAAGGTGAAGAAGGTGAAGTGCCAATTCTTCTCTCCCCCTCTTATTTTTTCTTGAATTTAATTCGCTAAGAGATTTTATTTCGTTTGATTTCATTTGATGTATTTAGTAAAAAAAAAACCAGCAAAAACTGTATGTGACATATGGGGAGAAGATACGTGTTTTCTTGAGTTCGAGAATCCCTTCCCATCATTTTAACTAATAACAATAATATTTGTAAAAAGTGCAAGATTAGTGACATTTATTAAAATTACTAATTTTTGTTCCAGAGTTACAGAAAACTTATTTGCAAGAGTAAATGATTTTACCATGCAGATTTTATTTTCTGCATTGCTAACAAAATTGTAACTCACCCTTAACTCTACTCCTACCACTACAAGCAAAAGGAGAGTTCAACAAAACGTGTGCATAGTGAAGCCACATTTACATACAGAAGCAAAACACAAGGCCATCTCATCATTTCTCAATATGTCAGAAAAACTGGAGAAAAACCTGATCGAGATGGTAAATGAAGACTTTTTAAAAAAATTATACAACACAAATGTAAACTAATTTATTATATACCATTGTTTTGTAACGATAAACATTAATTTTCTTTTTGATGATTAGTATAGTCTCTAATTGCATAAAAGCAGTTTTGCAGCAGAAAAGATTTTACTTTTAACTTAAATTTGTGTACCGACTTCAAATGTTTAATGTCATCTGGCAATGTAATTTTTTCGCGTCTTCCTGAACTACAAAAATTTAAGATCAGATTTTTTCCTTCAATGAAATTTGTTCTTCTAGTGAGTTCTTTTATTAAGATCATGTACATTGTTTTAGAGTTTAGTAACTTTCAAGCAATATTGCGTTCGATATTTGCAATATAAAAAATTACAAAAAAATTATTTTTCAAAACCGGCTCATTTTTTTTTCTTTAAACTTTTAGTAGGGATATGTAATAAGTGCACTCTAAAGAAGACATAATGCCGATATTGCTCTATTTTATTTTTTCAACAACTTATCAAAAATGTAATCCTTTTTTAGTTGTCTTCATGTCGTTCAATTATTTAACACTAGCTCAATTTTTCAATTAATTTTGTTTATGAGTAATGTGCTTTAAATGTAGATAAAGTTTTCCTGGAAAACTAAATTTCCGGCATTTTCAGAAGCGCTCAAAAACTGTTTTCTTGAAAACTACTCAAATTTTTTCTTCAACTTTTCAATAGATAGTATAATTGAACTAATTTTATGATGACAAAGATTAATTTTGTTGCATGCAATTTGTTTTAAATCAATATTAACAAATATAATTGTTTTGAAATACTCTCAGACTTCAATATGACAATATTTCTGTAATTCGTAAACACTATTGCAATTTTAACTGGAAGTGATTTCAAATGATGTCATATGAAGTTTTTTCGCAAACTCAATAATGAATTTATGTTCGTGCTCCTAAAACTAAAAATGGAAGATAGAGAATTTTCCTTGAATGAAATTTGTTCTCCATAGTAAGTTTTCCATATAGCTCACGTACATTTTTTTGAAAATTTTTAGTTGTTTTCGTGCAATATGCGCAAATTTAAAAAAAAAAAAAACAAAAAGTTTTTCTCAAACAGCTCAGTTTATTTTTTACACTTTTGGTAGTATGGTGGCAAATGTAACTCTGGTGTAACTAAAACCATATTTTCTCTGTCATGTACTAATAGTGGTGTTTAATCCTATTTTCTAATTAAGATGAAGAATAAAGTGTTGATTGCTTTATTGAAAGTGTATTCCAAATTATTCTGGCTCAAGCTAATCCAATAATATTTTATCTTTATTTTTTCTTATGACCTTTCTCCGAAGTAAGCTTACTTGTTATCTGTATTTTCATATGACATCATTTTTTGTCTGCAACAGAAATAGAATCAGAGTGATGTTAAAAGAAGCCTTAGGATTGGTTAGGCAGAAATATTGAAATTTTGCTATATTCTTGATAAGCCAAAAATGCCTTAAAACTATAAACTACACAGTAATTTCGCATTAATATTGCTAAATTTAGCATCGTCAGTATGCGATGAATTTCTTATAAAAACACTATTTGTTTCACTGTGTGTTCCAAAAATATTTTATAAAGAATAATTCTGCAACTATGTTGTTGTCGACTACTACATATATTTTTATTTTCAAATCATCTTGTAAGTTGGGATATGATACTAAACTGTTTTGCGTTTTCAAATATAGTTTGATTTTTAATTATTGTGTAAATTAAGATTAGTTCTTATACTAAATATTGAATGATTACTTAAATTGTTTTCTAAAATAAGCTCTAGCACTTTAAAGTGTGTAAACAAAAAAAAACTTCTTCTTGAAACACATTTTGACTTCTTAATTTTCTATCTATATTCTTTTAAAACCTTTGTTTTTTGATTTCTTTCATAATGTGTTGCAATACTTGCTGTTTGCACATATTAAAGTTGACTCCTTTTGTGTTGGAGGGTTTGCACTTTTGTCCTAATTGATTTTTCAATAAAACAAAGATGATTTTGACAGGATTATAGTTGAAAGAAACAATAAATTATGACATAGCTTTGTCTTGAATGATGAAGATAGCTTTGAGTGCCAAATATTTTTTTCTGAATATTTTTTTTTTTGTTGGTATACATACCGGTCATATGATAATAAATAGACATAAAATAAGCATGCCCCACTCTGTCAATTATATTAAGAAATTCAAATTTGAAGTTATTAGTCAAACAGAACAAAACACTCACAGATGGATAAAGCAGGAATTTTCAGGAAACTATGAATGAATTGTGCATTAGAAACGCTATGAAAAATGTATTCATGGAGGATAACAAAATTACGCAATTTAAAAGAAAACAATAATCCTGCAAAGATAGGGATCTTTTAAACTTCACCTTGTTGACGGGCTCAGCAATTCAGAGCCGAGATGCCAACGGGTATGCAAGACTTCACAAGAACACTAGTCGCTGTGTTGTAAAGCATGTAAGATAGTGTGCATGCATGTACATTTCCAAAAGCAGCTTAGCAGATGAAGTTGAGGATAAATAGGTTAAAGTTAGATAAAATACACCAATAAATGTATTTTCTGTTTGTTACCCAAAATATATTTTATAATTAAAATGTTTTTTTAAATAGAATTATACATATTTACATACTGGAAAAAAGGTAATTGAACATGTTTACTTTCTGATACGCAACAAAGCCATATTGGGAGTAAATAAACATTTACGCAGACCAAAAATCTAATCACAAATTGAAGACATGATAGAATTTTTTAAATCCAAGATCATGCACGCGGTTTTTGTAAATTATGCCATAGTAGATTGAAGCGTTGACATGCCCTCTTCACAACTGTACTTGCATACGGCAAAACGCTGTAATGCACATCAATGCTTGGTAGTGCTTGGAAGTATCCTGGAAGAGAGAAATATTTTAGATTGAGAGAAGATACTTAGCAGAGCAACAATCCCTCTGAAAATCAAATTTTCTAAAAAATTTATTTAATTTAATTTACATAATTAATTCATTTCCAAGTTTCACTTAGTTCTCATTAAAGGCTCCTTTACTATTTATACATTGAACAGAACAGTACTGCATATATGAATTTTCAGAACTATTCATTATTTGTTTTTCCCTTGTCTACAACAGTGGAAGCTCGCAAGGTGAAGAAGGTGAAGTGCCAATTCTTTTTGAATTGAATTGGAATTTGCTTATTTTACGTGGCGAGAACTCGGGCCATCAGGCCTGCTCTTGCCGTCTGACCACGCAAATTTCGTTACGCTCTATTCACCACTAGGAGAAGAAAGAGGTAATTTCTTGGGGGGCGAGAAACAGGGCGATTGAGCTTTAGCTCAGAGCATTTCTTTAGGCTTGAGGCTCTTCTACATGCAAGTAAAATCTACAAAACATGACAAGCCGCTTTACTTTCCCCCCGAAGGAAGGCGTACGAAGGATTTTTTCGGCCTTCAAAATCCACGGCTTCGATCAGGTTTGAACCTGCCCAACTTGTAAACGTCCAGTACGCTAACCGTAACAACATCGCGCCACCCTCAATTCTTCTCTCCCCCTCTTACTTTTTTCTTGAATTTAATTCGCTAAGAGATTTTTATTTGTTTAGATTCATTTGATGTATTTAGTCAAAAAAAAAAAACAGCAAAA